CCAGAAGATCACAAATTGCTTTAAAACTGGATATTATATACTTTTTTTTCGTAGTTATAACTTCATTGTAATTAAAAAAAACTAGAGAGAGAGAGAGAGAGAGAGAGATTTTATAGCTAAAATATAAGCTAAAGCTTTTCTTTCATGCGTGTCACTGTGGTGTAGTGGTTAAAAATAAAAATGATAAAAAGTAAATTAAATGAAATAGAAAAAAGAGAATAAAATGCAAGATACATATATATATTAACACTGATAAATTAAAGCATTGGATGAGTGAAAACGTTTGTTATTTGAAAGTTCAATGCATTAATCCCCCCCCCCCCTTACACACACACAAAAAAAATTAAAAAAAAAAACATCGCCTACAAAGATTAACTGCATGACTCCAGACTTATTGTGCATGTCAAGAAAAAAGCCATTAAAGTCTGTTTTTGCTGTTTTCAACATTTCCCACAATAATTAATGAGATGATCAGCGCTTCATACACGGCACTAATTGCCGATAAATAGATAAGCGGAAGGCATGTTGATGAACGAAGTTAACAGCCCTGAAATTTACAACTTTGTCTATTACTGGAGAAAGATATTCATACCGGAGAACATCTGGATGCAATTGACGCTTGTAGAATAAATTATGAACTAAAGATTGACTTGAAACAGACAGAAATTTGATGAAAGGAAAATGATACAGATTTCAAAGAACACGATGTCCGTTCTCTGCGGGGTGTTTGCCTTATTAACATCTGTAGTGGCTTTTGGGATAGCAACGTTAAGAATTGCTTGTTAAACTCTTTAAGGTCGAGAACTTAAGGTGGCTGCTGTGAGGGAGTCTTTTAAATTGTGGTCATGATTTTTTTTTCATGGCATTGAACGGGTTTTTATTTTTCGTTGCCACGAATTTTTATTTTTCAATGAATAAATTAAAGAATCATATATACCATGTCCTATATCAACCACTAAAAGAACCGCATCTACATTTTTCAGTTTTAAAAGAGTTTATGTATTAAAATGAAAGGTCTCAAATGAAAATTTTCGTAGTAAAACTGCATCAAAAACTCTTCTCAGAAAAAGTTGCCCCCCCCCCCCCCCCCCCAGTGCTTCGGGTTGCTGATCTTCTAAAACAAATATTCCTATACAATTATATTTCTTTATTGTTTAGGCAGACGAAAAACTGAAAGTTTTCTCTCAGTGGTCTAATTGAAAGGTTGATATACATCTAACCCCCAACCTGATCTGTTATGAAAGTTAATTAACCACCCTAAAGGCCAATACCATCGACCTTGATTAACTTTCCAAATGAACGTAACTTTGAAAGGGATGCTCGTCTGTGCCGTAAATAATCAGTAAAACCAATCAGAAGTTGTATTGGTCGTCTTAACGTAATTTGCAGAAGTTTAACGATGCCCGCAGGTCACGCTGTTTTCTCATTCGTCAAAGATGACTTCAAGTTGTGGCTGTTGAATGCAATTACTTTCCAGGTTACATGTCACCGAGACATATTTGCTTTTCAATAAAGAGAATTGCATGTTCTCATCTTCGTTCAGGCCCTTAGAACGCAGAAAAGGGGATACTTGTAAATTTTTTTCTGAGTATAGTTGCCAGTATCTATCATTTATTTATTTTTGCATGGTTTAGAAAACAGCTTCCCGATATGACTTTAAAAAAATGAAAACTAAAAAAGTCTATTTTAAAAAAATGAAAATTAAATCTAAATGTTTGGATCTCTTTTTCAAGCAGTGTTAATTTCTGTTAATTGCATGTATTATATTGAATACGTAACAATACATTCTAGTAATTACAATTTTGTAAAGTCAGACACTTCACACTTCTGTAATAGAGGGCAAAACAAAACCCTAAATAAACAACATAAATACCGAAAACTGAAGTACTTAATAAGGTTTATTAAACTCAAATATACTTTTTGAAAAAGGATACCACACAGAATCGGTCAGAGGAGTTCAGGGCTACCACGAGGTTTACATAAGGAAAACGAAATACTGCAGGGAAAATATATTACCTTTTTGTTTACATAAAAAAATGATCCGCCATGTATTCTCCTGGCCATATGTTTGACAAGTGGTTATACGGAGGCAAGACAGCTGCTTATCTGCATTGTTAATTGTTATTATTGGAAGTATTTGGGTCGAACGATACCGGTTCTAAAGGTTAGTCCGGACTCGTAAGACGTCATAGAGAGGCAATAACCATCGTTTCGTTTATTAGCCAGAATAAACTCGTAATAGCAAAATATGCATTACGTTCATTTCTAAATCAGCAATTTGTAGGATTCTCATCAGAAACTGATCCACTTGATGCCAGGTACGAAAGAAGCAATTTAGTTTAGAGGGGGTGGCAAACGAACAGAAATTTCTTGTCAAGCAAGTAAAAAGGGTCACCAGGCATTATTATTTAGGGGAGAGGAGGTGGCTTAAAGTTGGATTTTCATTGATGATCTATTATATTGTAAACAGTGACAAAAATAATTGGGGATGGATTGTTTTCCGTTTCCTATGGCCCAGAGGCTAAGGTAGCTTCACTAGTTTGATACCCTGCTCGAAGAACGAACAGCTATCTGCTCACTGAAATTTAATAATCATTTTTGCCGAAGTGATGTAAATTTTCTTATCAAATATGGAAATAGAAACGGAATTGAAAAAAAATTTAGTATACCATAAGGGCCGACAATCTTTTTCAGAGGTTAAGGACTTTGTTTATAAAGAAACCTGGCAATTTTCTATCGGAAAATTATTTCTTACCTGAGGATCAGTTCCTCTTAATTAAGTGAAATTTTGTGATCAAAGATTGTCAATTGTGCATCTATCATGTTGTAAATTTTGAATTTACTAGGGGGAGGTAAGTGCAAAATTTACAAGTTATCATGTTGTAAATTTTACATTTACCTCTCCTAGTAAATTCAAAATTTACAACATGATTCATCGTTTAAGATTTATACCAGTGTACAGGTGCACCTTGTTCTTACGAGCCGTTTAGTACTTTACACTCCGATCAAAACTTGGCGCAAATGTCATGTATATATTGAATTTACCGGGTGGCATTAAATATGAAATAGCTGGTGTCAAAGTTTCAAGTTCAATTGCTTATTTTCTCTTCCTTTGTCATAAACAAATCAATATAGCTTCAGTCTCGTCAGAGACATATGATTAGGAAGATATAATACCTAAATGGTAGCTTCACCAATGAAGCCTTTAAAAACTGTTCATTTTTGTCTGTAAATAAACTTAATTTAATTACAGTTCAACTAAATAAATTTGCATGATTTTTAATGTTAATTATTTATTTTAATTTTTAACTAACTTAGAGTAAGGGTTAACGTGCAGTCCGAGGATTCGAGAACGAATACTTGAACCCTTTATACTCGGATGATCAGTAGGGGGCGCTGACGTCTAAATTCTTATAGACGTGTTCTAATCATTAACAATTGCTGACAGCGGCTACATATAGGTTTTAGTGTCCTAAATCCCATATAATCATCTCGCCTCCAACATGCATCAGCTGCTTTGTTCTTTGATAAATTTAAGACACAACAGGTGCCTTGTTCATTTGCTTTTTCAATTTTTTACAGGTGTAATATAATACACAAACTGAACAAGGGCAGATCCGGAATTTTTTTTCGGGGTTGTAGTGTGGAAATTCGTACAGTGGAGGGGATGTCTCATTTCATGGAAAAATCCACTTTCCTCCATATATCTGACACTTTCTGTCAATCATGGAGATGTTTGTATGTGTGTGTGTTTGGGGGGGGGGGGTGTCACTAAGTTAACTTACTACATACATTTAATAATCAAACTATATCCTTGTGTGTTGGGGTGGGGGTAGGGTCGGCTTATCCCCGATGGATCTGCATGTGCTGAACTGCGTTTACCTCTGCCAATTGCGACATGACGTATTTGTAAATCCCTCACTTATACAGTAAATTTGAAATTTAGTCTCAAATTTATGATAAAGAAAAAGAAAAAAAAAAAACGTATTTCAATATCCGTAATATGTTGCATGGACGAGTCCCTGTTTTACAAGACGCCTCGCGAATCTCTTTCAATGCTAGCCAGAAGCTGTTCTTGTGTGTCCAGTAATTGAAATCTATACCTTCCTCGCCCATGTCAGTTTCAATATTTCTGCATTCCTCATTTCCATGATATCAATTATTTCTACTCTTGTTCAGCTTGATCTACAATGTACTTATCTTGCCAGATGTACAAACATATGAAATTGATTTCAACAACTGGAAGGTCGTGTTTGATGTACAGATGTATATATAGAATTTAATTTCCTTCATAGACATAACTTTTATTAGAGGGTTCTCACAATTTTGTATTTAACTGATAATTTGACAAGGCAATAAAACATATGTATGTATGTTTTAAACTTAGTATAGGCTCGGAGACACTCTGGAAAAAGTCAAAAGCTTTAAAATTAAAGGAATTGAAGTTTTTGCAATAAAGCTGTTCCATCATGCTGTAAGAGTCTAGAACAGTGGCGGATTTGTTGGGGGTGGGGTGGGGAGGGTTAAAACCCGGCAGTTTCTCTTGGTAAATTTATACTATTAAAGTCAAAGTAAGAGCAAACATTGTGATTGTCAATTAATTTAAAAAAATTCCCCTCTCCCTAACTTGAAATCCCAGATCCACCCCTCTAGAATATTCTTATACATGTAATTATTTTTAATTTAGAAAAAGCCTACTATGAATTGTTTTGAGCAGAAAATGCACTTTTTGTAATAATCTGTCATCGATGTACTTAGCAAAGTGTTTCGAGGATGATAAATGCTATATCATAAGATACTAGTAAATGTTATGATAATTGATTTTGAAGTACATGTATGTTTCTACCTGACAAGAGTCAATTATTTAGTTTTGTTTTACGGATTGTTACAATTACAACGGAAACCCCAGTGCATTTTATAAAAACAAACACTATAGATATTATTTTTTTTTCATCAATGACATTATTTTAAGGCACTTTTATTATCTGTTGCAGGAAAGAAATGAATATGCAGCGATACCTGCTAACTTCATTTCTTAGCATACTTTCATTTCCGGTTTACACTTCCAAAACACTTGTTGAGACAACTTCCGGTTTCGTGCGCGGTTTCACTAAAGAGGTCGACGGAACGACAGTTTATACGTACTTAGGCATTCCTTTTGCCCAGCCTCCTCTCGGGGAACTTAGGTTTCGCCGGCCGGTACCGATAGAAAAATGGACGGACGTTTACAATGCCACGTCACTTGGGAACTCTTGTTTTCAGAGCCCCTTAGAGTATTTTAAGGGTAAAAAAGGTGAAGCATCCGAAGAAATGTGGAATCCAAATACCAATATGAGTGAGGACTGTTTACATTTGAATATTTGGGTACCGGAAGTGTCTGCGAATACGAAACTAACGACTATGATTTGGATTTATGGAGGTGGTTTCATAGCAGGATCACCAACATTGGATTTATACGATGGTGCATTGTTGGCAAGTTCACAACAAGTTATAGTGATATCAATCAATTATAGATTAGGTCCTCTTGGATTTCTATATTTAGGCACCGAAAATGCCCCCGGAAATATGGGATTACTAGATCAACAATTAGCCTTGCTATGGATTCATTCAAATATTCAACGCTTTGGAGGTTCTCGGGATGATGTAACGTTGTTTGGGGAGAGCGCAGGCGCTGTGAGTGTAAGTTACCACATTATGGCAAACAAGTCTCAAAATCTTTTCAATAACGCCATTTTGCAGAGTGCTTCCGCTCTTGCGCACTGGGCATACAATGATCCGGAAGTAGCTTTTAAATATGCTGTCAAATTGGCAGAGGCATTTGATTGTGAGTCTAATGATAAAAGTTCAATCATTGAGTGCTTGAAGACAAAAGACGCAAGCAAATTTTTTACAAAAATATGGACCCTACCTCTCACAGCAGTGACGTTTAATTTTGTTCCAACTTTAGACAATTATTTTATCTTTGAAACACCTTCTGATTTCTTTAGTTCAGGGAGTTTGCCCGCGAAGAGGATATTATTAGGTGTAAATAGGAACGAGGCAATGTATTTTTTGTTTTATAGTTTATATAATGTTATTGTGACAAACTGGCCAAATAATACTCTGGTGAGAACAGATTATCTGAACAATTTACCAGAATGTGTTTCGCAAAATGGCATACATAAATTGGACAGTGTAAAAGATAAACTCATAATAGATGCCATTTTGTATCGATATGAGAGCCATCTACTTCCGGGTGATAAGAAGGACTATATGATGCTTCTTGATGATATAAGTGAGTAACAGGTATAGCACCTTTCTTCTTAACTTAATGTCAAATGTTGTGTGTGACGTCATCGCTTACTAGAAGTCTAAACTGTTGATACATCAATACTTTTGCTTACTAGTAGTTTCAAATGTATGTGACATCGCTTATTAGAAGTCTTAATTATCGATATAATATGTAATGGTTATACACACTTTAAAAAAATTAGAACTGTAGTCTTTCAGGTCCTGGCTTCTGTTTAATTATTTACCCTATATATTATACGGTATAGACGTTTTGTATAATTTTATCTCGCCCTTTTACGCTATTTTAACAGAGAAATTTTCAGAAATTTATTGATTTAGCAAATGACTCAAAGCACAATTAAGCATCATCAAAATAAGCAGATTAGAAGAAAACGAAAATGTTTGACATGATAAAACAATAGAAGCATTAGGCAAAATTGTCCTTGTTACACTTGATCCATTGTTAAAAAACTTGTAATTTTTTTAATCTTAGCTGGAGATTTTGCTTTCAAGTGTCCAACCATCAGTCTAGGTCAGAAGTACGCCCAGTCTAATGGCATGTCCGCTGGTGTGTACATGTACGAGTTCAACCACCGTCCCTCCGTCAGTTCGTGGCCGGAGTGGTCCGGGGTCCTCCATGGTGACGAGATCGAATTCATTTTTGGGGTTCCTCTGAGAAAAGGGACCAGGTATTCAGCAAATGAACAATCTCTCAGCCAGGATATGATGCAGTACTGGACCAAATTCGCCAAAACAGGGTAAAAGTGCAACACTTAACATTATATACTGTTAACTGCAGGGAATACTGTAAATTAACTCTTATTCGCGATTTGTTGAAAACAAAAATCTGCGACTTTTATTTTTTACAACATTCTATGTAATTACACAAATAAATAGTTGGTTCACGTCGAGAAAGATTTGCGTCTGAAAGAAAATCGAGGATTTTTCTCTCACGCAAAAAAGTTGGCCTACAGTGTGTAAATGGTGGGTATTGGTTGCCATACATTGTACCCTACATCAATAATTCATAACAATGAGCCCATCAAATGTACCTTAACTTTATTTATTCAGATGAACTCATAAGGATTTCGAAATCATTTACGTGTCAAGAAACTATCAGTTAGACACTTAATGTGTATGACCGGTCGACAGGGAATGCTTACTCCTCCATGACACATGATCATACCTCTGTTGTTTGGTCTTCTCCCAATTTGTATTGTTATAATGAACTTTTGAGTTTGATTACTGTTCGTTGTCTACATATTTCATTGCGGTGTACAATTCACAGTTTGCTTAATACAGGAAATGTAGATATATTATAAACTGTACTAGTGTTTATGTATTGTAAAGAAGCCATTAAATTTATCATTTATTATTATACATGTACATCTAAATTCTTCAAAATCTCCATTAGAGCAAATTCACAAAATTTCCATTCTTAAGAAATGTCCTGAAGGTATAAACTTTTAATGCGTGTTGGATACAGTGTTCTTCTCTGTGCTGACCTTATTAAATCATGACAAACTGTATAATAATAAACAAGATGTGTTTGTGAACACTGATGCCCCCGTACGGCAACTTATAGTGAAGGTTAAATTTTTTTCAAATGCAAATCAAATATGCTGGTACCCAAAGTAAGGTCTTGTATTAAGGAATATACCTTTGAAATATGAAAGCCCTAGCAGCAACCATTGAAAAGATAAGGAAAAGGTTAAAGTTTTTCAAAAGTACGTCAAACATCAAGATCAAGTGGTCAAAATTAATGGTGCCCAAGGAAAGGCCTTCTCACAACACATATACATTTGAAATATGAGAGCCCTAGCACCAACCGTTTAAAAGATATGGCCAAGGTTAAAGTATTTCAAAAGTTGGTCAAACTCCAAAGTTACGGTCAAAGGGTCAAAGTTGTTTGTATCCAAAGTAAGGTCTTGTCACAAGGATTGCATATGTGAAGTATAAATGCCCTAGAACTAACTGTTCAAAAGAAATGACCAAGGTTAAAGTTTTCCAAAAATAGTTCAAACAACAAAGTCAAGGTCAATGGGCTATAATTGTTGGTATCTAAAGGAAGGGCTTGTCACAAGGATAACACATGTGAAGTATGAAAGCCGGAGCACCAACAGTTCAAAAGTTATGGCCAAGGTTAAAGTTTTCCAAAAGTAGGCCAAACTTCAAGGTCAAAGGGTTAAAGTTGTTGGTATCCAAAGGAAGGTCTTGTCACAAGGATTACATATTTGAAGAATGAAAGCCCTATCACCAACTGTTCAAAAGATATGGCCAATGTTAAAGTTTTTCAAAAGTAGGTCAAACTCCAGGGTCAAAGGGTCGAAGTTGTTGGTATCCGAAGGAAGGTCTTGTCACAAGGATTACACATGTGAAATATGAAAGCCCTGTCACCAACTGTTCAAAAGTTATGGCCAAGGTTAAAGTTGGGTAAAATTTTGTAAAACTGGGTCAAACTCCAAGGTCAAAAGGTCATATATGAGGGTACCCAAAAGAAAGGTCTTGTCACAAGGAATACACAAGTGAAATATGAAGGCCATAGCTCCAACCAATCAAAAGTTATGAGCAATGTTAGACAGACAGACGGACGGACAGGGCAAAAACCTATATACCCCCTAACTTTCGATACGGGGGCATAAATATGGAATATGGAGTGGAACACACACTCAGGTTTCATTTTAATGTATTTAAATTGTTATAATTAACCGATAGCTTGGACAATCTGAACATATATTCGTGCGTCATATCGAATAGTCAAACTAGGATATTCGCATCAGATTAAAGATATATGTAGAAAGTGTGCACTGCGTATGCTACAGTAAGGTACCCCCCCCCCCCCAAAAAAAAAATGCTTAATAATGTAAACTTTTGTAAAATATTATCCATATTTAAATATTTAAGTACTTTCATTAACTATAATTCTTTGAAGAAGTACATGTACTATAATACTTTGATATCTAATTTACTACGATACTTTGAAACTTTTTTGCAGATCATGGGCATTTATTTCTCTGAATTTCCAAATAAATTGTGGTAATTTAATCAATAATGTTCGAATTCTAGTATAAAAGTAATAATGACCAGAAAAATTCCATTACTTTGTCAGAGAATAATGAAAAATAGGAATATGAATTTCACAGTTCATACACTATTGGTGAAAATGTTCCAAAGTAATTCAGATCAACATGATCAACATAAACTTTTCTTAAACTTTACAGACGTCCTTCCAGTGATTGGCCGCCCTATTCCTTTGAAAACGAGGCATACCGGAAGTTTTCAACGGATGTTGGACCGTATGACAGTGTCTACGACAAAGGGCTCAAACACAGTCACTGCCAATTCTGGAACGATTACATTCCGAAACTTCAGGAATACCTTAAGCAAGGTACATGTACATTACGAAGATAAAACACACGAAATTTTTCGAGTTTGATTTACTTTGTATTATGAAAAGGTATTGTCCGACTATTGTGATTGTTGAATGAATGTCAAGGCTATATCAACGACGAAAGAAATTTTTAATATCTGCACATGATTTGTTATCTAAATTTAGAACTAAAAACGCGCTCTAGTTAGCATTTCTTTGTTGAAGAACTGAAGCAATAATTTTCCTTTATTTTAATATAACTGTTGTTTAATTTTTATTTAAGTTTAAACGGTCACTGCAAAAAATGCTGAACAGATGAATGTTATAATTTATCTTGATTTGATAAAAAGATAAAATGTAGATAAAGTAAGGCGCCGAACTTGAATATAAAGAATAGAAAAAATTGCAGGGTGTGCTGTGAGCAAAGAACTTTACAATATTATTTATATTTTTTTTCTATTGAAAATATTAGTTAACGTGGCAGATGTTATGAACAGCTTTTGTCTGAATGAAACATGTTGAATTTTTCACATTTGTAAACCTCTGCCCTATCTAGAGTTTTTTGCATCTTTCTAAGGACAGGCGCATATAGCATTGTTGAAGCAGTATTTCTTTGAACCTATATACACAAAGGATCATTTGGAGGATATTTAATTACAATAAGCGACAATATGGTAAAGATACTTAGAAAAATGTGCAGAACTGTCCAAAAAAGCAGTATTTATTAATTCAAGTTTACGTATTGTTTATTTGCCGATGAATTTTGCATTTGAATTTGTTTTTCTCTTCAGAAGAAGTCAGGTGTGAAAGTGCCGTCAACATTGGACACCGGAACTCAACAAACTTTATCACGCATGCGCTGATTGCAGTTATTGTAATCTGCACTAGTATATTAGTTATTCTTAGGTAGGAATTGAAAGAAATTCTGTGTACAGGCAATAGCACTCAGGACGTAAATCTTTAAAATACATATACACGTATGCATGTATTAAAATCAATTTTGCTTTTTTGAACATACTTTTTTTAATGTTATTTATCCAGAGGCCTATCGAAAGATTTTCAGCTTTAACACATGCTCTTATTTATTATGTTTTACACAATGGATCATTCCAAACAAAAAATGAACTATGTAAGAAACTGAAAAGTGCTACATTAAATGAAAGGGAACTAACTTATTAATAAATAAAAATACAATGTATAGGAAGACCAAGGAGATCATATATTGTCAATGGGTAACTCAGTATAAAAATTGATTTGGTTTATTATTCACACTAACGAGTTAACAATTGTAATGAAATATTTTTGTTTTGTTTTGTTCGTTTGAAATTGTGAACATTTTTTGATGATGAACCAGTAAGTCATAAGAAATGCATATTCTGATAAACATTCCTAGGAATTTGAGATTCTTTTTTCCCATTATGAACACTACTCGTAAGAATGTTTTGTAAGTTACATTTAGACATGTATGACTTGGATAACCTTACTGTAATTAAGTATATGATTTACGAGATCTTGTTATTTTGTCTGGATTTTTTAGATTATTTGCTCCAATATTCAACCGTTTTATTTTAAGACCGGGGAACATAATCTGGCAAGATCAGAAAAATTACGCCTTGTGTCTTTGTCTTCCATTACAGTCTAAACGTGACGTAGCAATGGAATGGGTGATCGAGTGCTATTCAGCGTGGGGGGGGGGGGGGGGTTCCGTGAAAACACTGGACGATACCTGTGACGCCAGGCACTGATTTGCAACCTAAAACAAAATAACTCCAAATAAAACGCTAGATTTGATGCCCAAGCCAAATATTTCATCTTTCCTTGATATTTGTCAAAATCACATTTTTCGGAATTTACCATTTTTACGAATAGTCCGAATCAGCCACAATCGGAAATGTATCGATACATTTTGTTTACAATAACATAAGGAAAAATTTGTGAAAAAAAAAGACTAAAAACTATTTGCGCCCATTTTTTAATGTTACGCAATTAACCACCTCGATTTGTCAATGCCTGACGTATGTACATGTACATGTATAATATTTCTTAACTTACCAGTTAATATTCTGCAGTCTTAGTTAGACCAGATTGTTCAGTACATATTTAAATTACATAGCTGTATAATGATACACATATATAATTACATGTATATGAAAACAGTCTTTTTTTTGGTACATTGAAGATTTAAAACGCTGTAAACATAATAGAACTGAACATAAACTTTGAAAAAAAGATTAAAAGAAATTTTGATTTTTTAAATAATTTATAATTGTTGCAAAGAATTATTTCTATTAATTAGGAAAATAGAAAAGGATGTCATGTTGGGAGTATGACATTCACGTAAAAACATCACTTTGTGTGTCTAGCTGTTTATTTGTGAAGTCGAGATGTAGAGGTGATGCAATTATACAAAAGACATAATCCCCCCCCCCCCCCGAAAAAAAAAAAACAAAACAAAACAAAACACACACACACTTAGGATGTCTTTATATTTACTGAAGTGTTTTTTTACTTCATATTAATAATGCTTTGTTAGATTTTAGCTAGATTTATTTTATACATTATAGTCAGTATTTTACTATTTTAGTTTACCTGTTATGTGTACATTACCTAAGTATTCATAGCGATGTTGATTATATGCATTTATTTTAACCGATTTTGTATTAAATGTATTTGAGCATTGAATTCTTATTTTTAGATGTCGTCGGTCGTTTAAAGCACCTGGTCGTGCCTACAAATCAAGTTTCAAGTTAACTTTATTTTCTTAACCCAACTGGCTCATCAGAGTAAGAAGTCCAAAAGTAAGAATTCAATGCTTATAACATTCTTTAATTTTTTTTCTCTTCATAAGTGTTAATTTCATTCATCTCCATAAATAAAGATAGCGCCTTTCACAACTGGATTGGTTAGAGTCGTTTTGACGTGGAAAGTTAAATAAATTAAATAACGCGAATGAAGGGGAAAAAATAACAAACAAATTTTAAATGAACAATTGTAATATTTTTAAAACAATGTAATAGGTTAATTATTTGTACAGTGTAATTAAATTGGGCTGAAACAATATACCTTTTGGAGTTCCTAGAGTATTGAAAGTGTATGTAGTTCCTACATATACATGTATATTCTTTCGCGCCGTGACAAGGTTTCGTGTTAGCTGCAGAAATGCAGCGTTATGGTTTTCTATTTTAGTTTTTGACCATAACGCTACAGATCCCGTAATGCAAATATGGTGCAATTTACGGCCCAAGATTTTCTGCACACGTTTGAAATGTATTTCTCCACATTCCAGCATTAGTCAATGAACTACTTGTCAATCCCTAATTCTAGATTATACGCTATTACCACCCTGTATATTTTATTCACTTCCTAACCCTTTTCAGTCGTCTCTACAGATCATTAAATTTGCTTGTTTTGATTTTTCTGCCATCCGGCAAAAAAATTCAAAACGAGAGTTTATTGGTTTATGGACGACTATAAAGGGTTAGGAGGTGAATAAAACATGCATGTTGGTTAAATAATATGTCTAAAATTAGGGAGTGAACCATAGTTGATTGACCAATGCTGGAAAGTGGAGAATTCTCCCCAAACACGCGCAGAAAATCTTGCTCCGGAAATTGCACCATATTTGCATTACGGGATCTGTAGCGTTATGGACAAATATAAAACTATAAAGCTACAGTTCTGCAGCTAGTTTCGTGTGTGTTATAGGAGGGTTGAATGATGTAGGTTCCTAATAGAATTTATAAAGAAATTTACTCTGAATGAAAATATACATGTTTTTCTTCCATTGTAGTTTATAATTTGATAAAGAAATTGTATTTTTTACCTGCTTTTCTATGTAAAAAAAAAAAATTACTTTTTTTTCTTTATGCTATATTTTCATGTCTGGTTTTAACAAATAAGAAGGATAATCCATGTTTTAATCTTTATCTCGTAAAATAAAAAGTAAATGACAAACTCTTTAAAATAAAAGAATAAAAGCAGTTTCCTATATATCTAGACGGTATGTGACACGTCATGACAAACTATACACACATATCTAAATACAATTCCTCAAATGGAACACTGAATGATAATTTTTAGCTTATTTATCAAACGGAATTTATTCCTCTTTGTTCGATGCTTTTACACTTTGCACGAGTTGTGCATTCTTTCAGACATATTCTTCTCCAACATATTTAAAGCTCCACTCACGCTTAATTAATATAGGTCATATTCAACAAGACTGAGAACTGAGGTTCAGTTAGTTAAATAATGGTTAAAATAATCGTACTAATGTAACTTACTATGTTGAAAATGCTTAATTTTATCAGCATATACCGTTTATATATATATATATATATATATATATATATATATATATATATATATATATATATATATATATATATATATATATATATATAAAACATTAACTCTATTCACGTCTGTGTGAAATGAATTTATTAATAGAAAGTTAACGTTTGCTATGAATTCATTGCTTCTCTATTTCCTTTTTATTTTTATTCTTTTTTTAAATGCATTCAGAATCTTACTTATAAAAAGTTAATTTAATTCCAATCTATCTTTAGACCGTTCTTTCTTAAAGGCTTATGACCTTGAAAAACTAAAAAAAAAATTTCATTTTCTTTTATCTCCGAGTTTTTTGACCAAGGAAAACCGCAACAGCGAATACTTGCTTCAGACATTAAAGAGGATAATTTTAGCCCTAGAAGGTGTCTCCATGTTTTTGGTTCAAATAGTTCATAATTTAAAATAATAAATTAATCAGCTGTCATCTTAAAAACAATTTTTCCTCATTTAAACTTTAGAACGTTTCCTTTTTTTATTGAACAAGTACATATGCACTATTTTAACTTGTTTTGAGCCAAGGTCAACTCCTTTTGGATTGAATTGTGTACACATGTTGTCTCTCGGCGTTGTTGCCGTGTCGTCGAAAACGTTCCACTTTTAAATCTTCTTTTCCCTAACCACTTGGTCAATTTCATTCTTTTAAAAAAAATCTTTTAGAACAGCAAGTCCAAATATTCATATTTCCATGCAGTGTTGATTCAGGGTTTTCTATTCAAGGCCCCCTTGGGCTTGAGTGGAGGAACCACAGTGTGGAGTCAGGTTCTAGAAATATTAAGGTAAACAACTCTTTTAGAATCATTCTTCTTAAGGGAAGCAAGGCAAAAATTTCTTGGGTATCCTACGCCCTTGGCCCTCTCGTAAAAATGTTTCATACTTACATTATGATTAAACTTTTTCAAAGATTTTTACTACAACTTATCTTATTATGCTATATAAATATAATTAAACATATCTAAATGTTAAATATCTACTGTCGATTTGTAAATTGAATGCATAAAGAATGATGAATACATGTTAAAAAAATAATGCAAAATGTTATAAATACCCTGAACAAGTCCTAGTTTTATTTTCAATATCAGTAGTGTACACGTATGGTTCAGAGAAATTTTTATCATAATCTTTCAATTCTTTAAAAAAAATATAATTTCGTAGAAACATAGAAGATTCCAACAAAACCATCTTGGAACACATACAAACGATATGACGTAATCTGTTTTTTATACAGTTATAGTATAAATGTACTATTTACAGAAATTCCGAACCTTGAATACCCATTACACTCATTATATCCCATCTATAAGTTTTGAAGCTGAACTTTATATGTACGTATTTAAAGAAATAACTTGCAATCTTTTTTTTTTTTTTTTTTTTTTTTTTATTTTATTTTATTTTTTGTTAAAAATACAAAATATGAAAGAAAGCTAGAAAGTAAAATCAATGCATCCTCTGCATCTGTTAGAAAACATATTTATATATATACTATACGTATTATATATTATACATAAATATACTTAAAAGGTTTGTTTGTGTAACGTCCTTTTCGAGAATTTTTCACTCATACTAAGACGCCATCAGTTGCCGGTGGAGTACTGCAAATTTAGACCTAAACTTGGCACACAGGGCCATTTAGCAGGTAGGGATCTTTTTTCGTGCCAGCAACTTCTGCGACATGGGACTTCGGTTTATGCGGTCTCATACGAAGGACCAGTCTGCACGTCCCGCAGTGGGATTCGAACCCGCGACGTAAGGATCAGCTCCTTACACCGCGACTTTAGAGCAAACGCTCTAACCAATGCGGCACATGGGTGACTACTTAATACAAAACATAGTATAAGTATTCTGAGTGGTTGTATGTTTGACTTTCAAAACTGCTGAAATTTCCCATTTTCCCTGAGAGTTGGCTGATCCTTGATTTTTTATAAAGTAATTCATTTAAGAGATGTTAATCGGAATTCTTATATTTTTGTAGCTATGTTTTACTTGAGGAATCAATAGGCGCGCTCACATACAATTTAAATTGATAGATTAATCGAATTCAAGGATTATACAAAGCACGAATAAATAACGTTTTTAAATAGAAAAAAAATATGTCGCTGTCAAGTTTCATAAACTTACAAGATGACAACTGCATGCCTTGGAAATGCAAAGTCATTCTTTTTGTCATAAAAGGTTATAAACCGAGACTAAAATAATATAATCTCTGTATAAAATTTATAAGGTCACCTGAGTCATTTAGGTGACCTACTGCTATCTTTTTTTGGGTTGTCGTGTGTGTGTCGTCTATCGTCCGTCGTGCGTT